ACACTTTTAATCACGAATGAAAAATTCAATCGAATAATTTGTTTTTACTTTTAATCAAAATACTCTTCGTTTCCCATCGTGATGCATAAAAATGAATCAAAATAATAATAATAATAATAAAGAAGAGAACGAGAAATAAAAAGGAAAAGAAACAAAAGAAAAGAATTTACATGGTGAATAATCAATAGTTCCTACCCTTACAGTAGATTCTTCTTGAACAGCGAAAAATGCAATGGTTATGGGGGTCGTCTTTCGTTCCTTGCAATTGCACCACCTCACTTGAATACACCTTGTTCCTTTCCCCCTCAACAGCTACACCCCTCTCACCCTGCTCCTATCCTTCTTCTGTCACAGATAAACACACACACATATTATATTATATCCACACGCACACTGCATATTCCTATTACACTATTATGCACCAAACTAGCTCGATTGCATTTACACGTACGCGTAATTAAATACTAACACTATTATAACTATTATATAATATACAAGACGTCACACGATTTGAACACCTAAACGTACGGCAGATGACTAACTGAGTATAACCTTGAGTTGTTAATGTTCGTAGCGTATCTTACGAAAACCACAGTATTCGTATGTATTCGTATATATTCGTGTATGTAAGACTAAGTACGTATACAAATTGTAAACACATATACGCGAAAGACAAGTAATTGTTCGTGCATTATTATCTCGTAAACAAATGAGAGGATTATATTCATGGTATAATAAAATATTCTAAAATATTTAAATATTTTTTTAATACGAAAAAATAAAAATGAATTATTTTAATACGTGATAGAGAACGAATTATTTATTATTATAATAATTTATAAGGATACTTTCATATATACGAATTATATGTATTAATAAAATTTGTTGAGTAATCATATATTTAATATATTTAATCAATCGTATATAATTAATTAAATTTGTTTTGTATTTATTAATTATCGTGAATTTTCTATATGTGATTAGAGTGTGTAACAAAATTTTTTAATAATAATTAATAAAAATATATCTAATTGTAAAAATAAAAAATAAAGAAAAATGTTTTTATTATGGATAACGTTAATACAAAACTGAATCGTAATTTTATTAAATTAATATTAAAAATAAAACTAAAATATATATATATATTAAATAGATAAAAGATTACGATTAAAAAATATATTAAAAAAAATAAATATAAAATTGTAACAATATTGAGAAATTGTTAGATTAAAATTTATCTACAATATTAAATGAACGTTCTTTTGTATTAGAAATCTTTCGATTCCAAGACAAGACGACAAAAAAAAAATGAAAAAAGAAAAAGGAAAAAAGAAAAAAAAAAAGGTGCTGCTAGAATGCAAGGACGTTGAGAGAACGCATTTTGCTGGCAATTATTTTAATTAACTCGATAAATATCACGTAGTAGTAGTAGTAGTAATAGTTAGAAGCGAGCACACTAATGTGTAAAAGATGCCATTCGGTCGTAGACCTCGACTCAGTTTTTCCTGAAAGCTGTTGTGTTGCACTAATGCACTCACAAGGTGCATAGCAAGTGCAAAGAACGAACCTCACCTTTTATTTTTTTTTCCCTTTCCTTGTTCAAGGACGAAAGGAAGAAAGAAAGGTGTTAACGTTAAACCTACGATTCATATTTTCTCTATACTTCTATTTTATTATTTCTATTATTCATCATCCATGATGTTATTTATCATAAAATTGCATACAGCTGCAAACATTGCGGTCACTTAAATCAAATAGGAAATTTAATGCAATTCTCGTAACGAGTCTTCTCTCTCTCTCTCTCTCTCTCTCTCTCTTTCTTTTATTCTCTTCCTAAAACTTTTGAGATAAAATAATAAAGCAAAAAGGTTTTACGATCATTTATCTTATATACATGTTATTTATTAAAGAAAATATTAACTATTTAACTATACAAGTGTTCTACAACACTAATCAATTCTTTATTACACATTATCTTTTCCCCCCTTCTTCTAACCACCCCCCAACAATCACTCGATACATCTGTATTATCTAATTTCAATATTATAATAAATATTATTAATATTATATTCAATATTATATTAATATTATAATAATTAACTGGTTCTTTTTTAAACTATTATAGGATATTAAATAAATAGAAATGATTGAACGAACAAAATTGGTTGTATGAATTAATTAACAAAAATATTCATATGGTGATCAGAAAAGTAAAAGGAAGAGATATAGATTGAACAACAAAAAAATTGGTTGTATGAATTAATCAAGAAAAATATTCATATGATGATTGGAAAATTAAAACGAAGAAGGATAGAGAGATGGATTAAACAAAAACAAATTGGTAGTACGAATTAATCAACAAAAATATTCATATGGTGATCAGAAAAATAAAACTTAATGCAATAAAATTGCTTGTAGGAATTAATCAACAAAAATTGATATATGATCAAATAAAATTGATTATATGAATTAATCAACAAAAATATTCATAATTGGTGATCAGAAAAATAAAACGAAGAGATATATAGATTGAACAAAAAACAAATTGATTATATGAATTAATCCAAAAAAACAAACAAAAAATTCATATACCGAGATTAGACGAATAAAGAAATGTAATGAGATAGAAAGAGATAGCAAAAGAGATATAAAAAGAATGAAAGGCATGCGAGTCTCGACTTAATTTAGCAAATCGGTGCACCGTTTTGTCACTGTCCCCCTGCTACTTGGAAGCTTCACTAACATAAGTCAAAGAAACAGAAAAAGAGAGAGAGAGAGAGAGAGAGAGAGAGAGAGAGAGAGAGAGAAACTGTTCTGAAAGATAGGATAAGATAGAAGTGGTGGTGTTTGTGGTTGTGGTGATGATGATGGTGGTGGTAGTGATGGTCCAGGTTGTTCGTAACGAACTGGCTTCTTGGTTGCTCGTAACAGTATACGAGGATTTAGTTTAGGGTACGTTATATAGTCGTGTTATACTTCGGTAGTTAGAAAACGGTACTTGGCAGAGAACACGATCGATCGCATATCCCATCGGTCGTTCTCCCTGTAATTATAGATCGAGGATGCCAGGTACGTTACGTGGTCACATACGAATACGTTGTGAGAGAGGGGTGGAAGGGGGGAGACCCCCTGTTTGGCGATCCTCCATCAATTCCACCTAAACCCACCCTCACCCACCCTAAACCACCATCATCCATTCTATACTCGTAATACGCGTGCTACGACCTTTAACATTTATCTTTATCTTTATTTTTATCTTTCGATTGTTTTTTAATTTAATTTATTTTTCATTGAATTTAATTTTATATTTAGTAATTTGTAAAGGCTAATTGATGATTCATTTTATTATGGTATTGCATGTTAATAGAGGGATATGATAAATTAAGGGAGGTGGAGGAGATAGGTTTTGTTGTTTTAATCTTTTATTATTATTCTTAGGATTATTTTCGGATTTTATATTTGTTTGATAATTTTTGATTGTAGGATTGTGATATGATTTATTCAAGAATTTGATATTGCATTTGTATAGATTGTATGATATTTAATTTAAGTTTGGATCTTAATTGATTTTATTTTAATTATGTAATTTCTTTTTTTTTTTTACATGTATATAGCAAAAGATAAATATGATCACAATCTAAATGAATAACAAATTTATATAAATTATTTTAACAGATCAAATATATATATATAGAAGATAAT